GGTTTAGCGCCTGCATTTGGCTCAGGGCGCGATCCTGGAGACCCGGGATCGAATCCCACGTCGGGCTCCCAGTGCATGGAGCCTGCTTCTCCCTCTGCCTGTGTCTCTGCCTCTCTCTCTCTCTCTCTGTGACTATCATAAGTAAATAAAAATTAAAAAAAAAAAAGAAACATCAATGGATACTTAGAAGCAAAGGGTGGCTTGTTGATGAGGTACAGGATGTTAACATAATATCAAATATAAGCACATCTCATTTTACTGCACTTTGGTTATTGCATTTCACAGATATTGTGTTTTTGTTTTATTTTTTTACAAATTGAAGGTTTCTGGCAACCCTCTAGTGGGCAAATCCATCGGTGCTATTTTTCTCTGACAGCATTTGTTCACTTCATGTCTCTGTGTCATCTTTTGGTAATTTATTTAATATTTCAAGTGTTTTCATTATTATTATATTTATTATGATCTGTGATCAATGATTATGACTTGCTAGAAGCTCAGATGATGGTTCTAACTTTTTAGCAATAAAGTATTTTTAAATTAAGGTATGTACATTGTTTTTTATTTTTTTAAAAGATTTTATTTATTTATTCATGAGAATACACAGAGAGGAGAGAGAGAGGCAGAGACACAGGCAGAGGGAGAAGCAGGCTCCATGCAGGGAGCCCGACGTGGAACTCGATCCCGGGTATCCAGGATCACACCCTTGGCTGAAGGCGGCGCTAAACCGCTGGGCCACCAGGGCTGCCCTGTACATTGTTTTTTAGACATAACGCTATTGCTTGCTTAATAGACTATGGTATAGTGTAAACACAATTTTAATGTGCACTGGGAAACCAAAAAATTCATTTGCCTCACTTTATTTGTGATACTTCAGTGGTGTGGAACTGAACCTGCAGTATCTCCAAGCATAGGCCTGCACCTTCCCACAAAATGCTTATTTAATACAAAGGAGAAAAGAGTAACTTTACAAAGGAAAAACCTAGCTTAATCATGTTGAAAATTAATATCAACTCTTTATAGCACAAATACAAATCTTGTATCATCTGTTAGGGCATGATGAAAAGAACACAACCTCACTTTCATGACATTTCCACTAAAAATGCATAACCTGAATCTAATTATGAAAGAATATCAGACAAACCCAATTTGATGGACATTTTACTTAATAAGTGGCTCTTAGATGTCGAGGTCATAAATGTCAAGGAAAGAACGAGAAACACTTCCAAATTACAGAACACTAAAGAGACAAGATAACTAAATGCAATGCGTAATCCCGGACTGGCTCTTTTTGTAGTAAAAGATACTATTGGTACACTGGCGAATCTGAGGATTCAATGTAGAGTGTTAATTTCTGATTTTGATGGTTGTTTTGTGGTCATGTAGAAGAATGTTTTGTTCATAGGAATTGTACATTCAAATACTCAGGAGTGGTGGGGCATTGTGTCAGCCACATCTTCACGTGGTTCAAGAAGAAAAGTTCTTTGTTCTCTTCTTGAAACATTTTTTGTGAGTTTGAAATTATATTAAAAGGGGGAAAAAAGGGGATCCCTGGGTGGCTCAGTGGTTTAGCACCTGCCTTCGGCTTGGGCTGGGATCCTGGAGTCCCAAGATCGAGTCCCACGTCGGGTTCCCTGCATGGAGCCTGCTTCTCCCTCTGCCTGTGTCTCTGCCTCTCTCTGTCTCTCATGAATAAATAAATAAAATCTTTTTTTAAAAAAAGGGGGTGGGGAAAGGCAGGGCTATTTCTTCCAGAGCGTCTCTTTCCACTAAGGAAGAAAACGTTTCTAAGCAGCTCCTCAGTGGAGAAGCCCCACTGGTCAGGACTGAATCACATGCCCTTTTTTTGGGAGCCCAGGGCCACTGGCAACAATGGGTCCTTCAAGAGCCCTAGGCTGCTTGTCCTTGCATTTAGGTGCAAGGTGCTCCAGTAAGGATTGGGGAACCAAAGAGTGAGGCTATCCTTCTCAAGAAATTCATAGGTGGAGCCTTTCAGGAAGTAATAATTATAGCACAATAGCATCCATCAATGATCTCAGAGAGCCTGGGATACTCCGAGAGCACAGATGAACCTAAAACACCCCAGAGGGGAGGGCGAGGCCAGGGAAATCTTCCTAGATAATGGGAGGAATGGGAATGGCGGCTCTTTTTGCTGAATGAGGGATAAAATCATGCACAAGTTTAACACTGTAGCCTTTGAAAGCATACCACCTTCCAGTTCTGCTACAGAATGCTGCTCAGCCCTGGTGGTCCCACAGGAGGGGCAGCTGTTGAACAGAATGCAGGGAAGTCCAGGGAAAGGGAACAACCTGAGCAATGGTGCAGAGGTAGGGAAAGCACAGAGCATGTAAAGGTTCACCTGGCTTCTGAGCGGGGAGCAGGAAGCAAGGTGGTTTGGGGCCAGGAAAATAAAGAAGCTTGATTGTAAGGGCTAAGAAGTGTGCAACAGGGAGCCCCTGACTGTTTTAGGAGAGGCCTGTTTCTGAGCAGTTCATCTGGGCGGCGCGTGAAGAGGATGAGTTCATGGTCGGCAGACTCACTAGGAGACTATTGCCAGAAAATGTTCAAGGTGAAATATGGCTTTGGGGAGGGGGGTAAAGCCATGATGGGAGTGAAAAGGCTGTGTTGAGTGACCCATCTGACAGGAAGGGAGTGTCAGAGAGGATTTAGGTGTTCCAGGTGGAAGCATGGGGAGTGTCATTAGTAGACAGGGGGATGGTAGGAGCCCACTTTGGGTGGTATCTGGGGGTGTGGACAAAAAAACCAGGACAGGGGATCCCTGGGTGGCGCAGCGGTTTGGCGCCTGCCTTTGGCCCAGGGCGCGATCCTGGAGACCCGGGATCGAATCCCACGTCGGGCTCCCGGTGCATGGAGCCTGCTTCTCCCTCTGCCTATCTCTGCCTCTCTCTCTCTCTCTGTGACTATCATAAATAAATAAATAAAAATTAAAAAAAAAACAGGACAAAATCAGGCATCATGCTGGGGTTTAACAGAAGATCTCTCCTCTGTTAGATGCACGATTAGATGCATGCATCTAATAATCTTTTAGTCATTACCACCGCTGCTTAAAACTCTTTGAAGGCTCCCCATTTCCCCTCGGACAGAAGAGACTGGTCTTTTTTTCTTTTTAGATTTTATTTATTTACTCATGAGAGACACACAGTGAGAGGCCGAGACATAGGCAGAGGGAAAAGCAGGCTCCATGCAGGAAGCCCGATGCGGGATTTGATCCCCAGACCCGGGATCATGCCCTGAGTCAAAGGCGGGTGCTCAGCCGCTGAGCCACCCAGGTGCCCCAGAGACTGGTCTTTTCTGTTTCCCACAAAACTTTTCTGTGCCCCACTCTCATCTTCCCTCCCTGTAGGACACACTTCCCATCCATGAGCCACAGCACCACTGTATTTCCAACACTAGAAAATAGGGATTGAATAAACTGATGTCACTTCAGCCACAGGGTCTTTGCACATGCCATCTGTGCATCCATCCTTAACCATCTTCCTTTCCCTCTTTGCCTGCTCAGAGTTTACTTACCCTCTAGATCTCAGTTCAAGTGTTGCTTTTCCAGGAGCACCTCTCTTGACATCCCTGACTAGGTCCAATCTCTTTTATATGCTTTCTAGAGACATGTAATTTCTGTCTCCCCTTTCTGTAGTTTTACATCAACTTGCAGGAATATTTGTCTAAGGCCCATCTCCCCCACGGACTGTAAAATCCATGGGGCAGGGGGCAGTGTTCTTCCTGTGAACACTCTATCTCCTGGACTCAGCATGGTAATGGAACTCTGTGATGCCCAGTGGATATTTTGCAGAACGAATTAGTGAGTGAGTGAACGAATGAGTGAATACTCCATTGGTGCTTCCAGAAAGGGATTGAGAAGCAGGTTATGCTTGAGAAGCACCTTATAGGATGGAGTTTCAAAACGCAGGTGATGTTGGTCTTTAAGAAACCAGCACAGAACTAGCCGAAGCACAGAAGAGGGCTTGATCAAAGGCAGTTGGTGAATCTCTAGGATAAATAGGGAAATGGAAATAAAGAGAAACAGAGTTCCAAGGCCAGAAAGACAATTAAGCCAGACTTTGGAAAGATTCAAATGTCAAGGGGAGGTCTTGGTTCTTAACTTGAGACACTGGGGAGCCATGGAGGTAGGTAAGGAAGAGGACACACCCAAAACTTCTCTCTGCTGTGATGGACAGGACAGGGAAGCAGGTGGGTGGAGAGAGGAGCTGGAAACAGAAGATCACCAGGCAATTGCAGTAGCTTTGGTCAAAAGTGCAAAGTCGGGGTATTGTAGGTAAGAGATGAGCAGGGTGAAATTTGGGTGGGGAAATGAAAGAAACTTGGCAACCGATGGGAATTTTAAAAATGAACGAAAGCCATGGGTGACTGGGCTGTGAGCTCATAAGACTCATGTCTTTTTTGTCTTTGTATCCCCAGTAGAAAAAGAGATTCCTTTTCTTAGAAGTCGTGGAAAGGAAACTAATCTGGGAGCTGCAAATGCTCAGAGAGGCCATAAAAAGAGAAGAAATCTGGCCCAAGACCTATTCTGTTTGGCTCATTCAGTGTTCACTTGGCAACATTGAAAAGCAGAGAGATTTCTCATAAACACCCCACATTTTTTCAGTACTGCCCACACTGGTCACCATGTCCCACAGGGCACCCGTTGGCTGAGCTCAGGTGGCCCCATGTGGCTGCTTCCCAAAGGTCTACCTGGTCTTACTTTCAGAGGAGTTCACTCATTACCTGTGAGGGCAGCTGACCAGCTCCTGGGGGGCTGCTTTTTGGTGTACCGTGAAATCGGACACGTTCTGCCACTGATCAGGGGGACGCGGGTTCTGCCCCGAGGACCCACACTCTCAAATCTGATGAGACACAGTTAACATAGAGGCACAATGGCACTTACGGCACCTCCTGCCACCACCTGCACTCAGGGTCACAGAGCTCGCAGGATGCCACGATAATCACGGTAGTTATCTATGGTGTAAATAACTGCATCAGGTGATATGTGAACTACATAAAACTTTTATTGATACGTTTATCATGCCAAAAAAGTTTTTATTTAAAATTCAAATTCCATTTGAAAAGGAGGCCACAAACGATTGTTGGGATCCCAGCCTGCTCCTTGGAGGAGCCCCCACGTTCACAAGAAAGCACGCACATTCTACAGCTATGTGATTTGATCACCCAGAACTGTATTCTGGGAAACTCCTAGAGATTCCTTGCAGGATGCCAGTTGTGTCTTTAGTCGGTAGCTGGGAAACAACAACAACAACAAAATAACTCCATTCTAAGACTTCTCAGAACATTTCTGGTTTTGCAACTACTGATCCTCAGGGACCTACCACCACCCAACCTAGAATATATGTATGTATGTGTGTGTGTGTGTATATATGTATATACATATTCCCGCTGAAAAATCACTGTTTTTGTTGCTTGCTGCTGTCACATCAGACCCTTAGGATGGCTTCAGCACACCTGGCTTTCCTTCTTGGTGGGATCCTGTGGATTCTGGCTGTGGATGGATGGGCAGGCCCCTCAGGAGCGTTTGGACTTGCTACAAGTTGGGCACAGAAGCTGCCCCTTGGTGACGATATATGCCCGGCCACTCAGCTGCTGCTCACAGCCCTCGCAGACAAAGTGCTTTCGGTGCCAGGCCAGGTCTTCCACGCGCTGGTAGTCCTCTGAGAATATAATCTGGGGAGGGGAGCAGAGAAGATGTACGACTCAGGTTCTGTCCCCCATAGAGACAGTGTATGGAGGACTAGCTGTAGAATGGCGGTTCCTCCTCCTCCAATCTCATCTTTTTTTTTTTTTTAAAGATTTTATTTATTTATTCATGAGACACACACACAGAGAGAGAGAGAGAGAGAGAGAGAGAGAGAGAGAGAGAGGCAGAGACCCAGGCAGAGGGAGAAGCAGGCTCCATGCAGGGAGCCCGACGTTGGACTTGATCCCAGGACTCCAGGATCGTGCCCTGGGCCGAAGGCAGGCGCTAAACCGCTGAGCCACCCAGGGATCCCCTCCAATCTCGTCTTGACCTCAAATGTATCAGTGGAGGATACTGATCTAAATCTCAGGCAGCAAGTATAATATTTGGCACAGGTCATGATTGCATTTTAGCTTCTTAGATGGGGAAAAAAAAATTCTCTGCCACAGGCGGTTTTTACTTATCTAGCTCTTAATACTCTTTTGCCCAAATTCAAAACCCAGTTGTGTTCTAAGATGGGATTATATACCCCAGTGAAGACAGCCCAATGACAGCTAAGGGCCAATGGCCAGTCTTCAACAATGAGGTCACATGGGGTCACTTGGGCTTGGAATAAAGTGACACTTTGGAATATGTATACATATGCTGAGGAATCCCTGAGGCTCAAAAAGAGGAGAACAGCATACTTATTAAATGTGCTTTCTGATTTGGGGGTCCAACAGGAACCAGGGAACCAGCTGCATGACTTTGGGCAAATTACTTAATCTCTCTATGCCTCAGTTTCCCAATCTGTGGAATGGGGATATAAATACTACTCATCCCACAGGGTTTTATGAATGCTACACATGTTACTACATAGGAAGTACTTGGCATAGTGACTGAGACACAGCCAATGCCATGTGATTGTCACTGGCCTCTCTGAGCTGCTCTCTTTTCAAATGTAAAATGGAGATAATGACTATCTCTCACTATTGTCAGATGAAAATGACATCACAGATAACGTGTGGAGCAAATGGCTGACCCAGTGTAAGTCCTTAATAATGGATGGAATGTTGTGATTCTAAGTATCCTGTTGTCCTCATAAAAATGAGGTTGTGGGGACTTGGGGCACCTGGGTGGTTCACTGGGTTAAGCATCTGCCTTCAGCTCAGGTCATGATCTCAGGGTCCTGGGATGGAGCCCTGTGTCGGGCTCCCTGCTCAGCGGGGAGCCTGCTGCTCTCTCTCCCTCTGCCTCTCTCCCTGCTCATGCACTCTCTCTCTCTTTCAAATAAATAAAATTTAAAAATCTTAAAAAAAAATGAGGTTGTGGGACAGGCCTGCTAACAGTCCTTTCCCCTCTTAACCTCACTTGACAACACAGTTATTAGGTAAGACAGCTGTAGGACTTTAACTTCATATGAAGAGCAACATGTGGAAGGTCAGGGGGAGGAGGCAGATATTGGCTCAAAATGAAGAAGTTTCTAACCCTCATTTGTGCTAGTGATGAAGGTAGTGAGTTTCCCGTTGTCACAGGCATGCAGACTCTGTCACTGCTAATGTGTCTTAGAGCTCCTCTAGCCTGAACTCATATTGGAGAGTCAAACCCTTTTCATAGTATCTCTATTGTATTAAGTTAATGTTTCAGTATCACGTCATATTATATTACCTTATAAGACTACCAGTAGCTCCTATTTATGAATTACTTGGTCAAGTTCTGTGCCATGCATTTTCATGAATCATCTCATTTTATCCTCATAGCAACCCCTTGGGATGGGCCTATTTTCCTCCCATTTCATAAGCGATAAACTGAGGCACAAAAGTTAGGTAACTACACCACTAATTGTGCACAGCCAGGTTTGAGTGGGGGCAGCCTGCTTTCTGGGACCCACCCCTCATCCCAGAGTGTTCTTCCAAGCACTTACTAAGTGCCAGGCATCATGCCAAGGATAGGACCTGACAAGAAGGGACGCCTGGGTGGCTCAGCGGTTGAGCATCCGCCTTTGGCCCAGGGCATGATCCTGGAGTCCCAGGATCGAATCACACATCGGGCTCCCTGCACGGAGCCTGCTTCTCCCTCTGCCTGTGTCTCTGCCTCTCTCTCTGTCTCTCATGAATAAATAAATAAAATCTAAAAAAACTTGACAAGAATGACATGTCTGACCCATCCCAAACAACCCCATGAGTGCAAACTAATTTCTGCCCCACTTTGCAAATGAGGAAACCGAGGCTGAGCGCAGGAAGAGAGCTCTGAGCTTCAGTTTTCCTGTCTGTGGATCACTATCACCCATGAAGCCACTCTCCCCTTGGCCTCCAGGTCCCGTCCCACAGTAGCGGGGGTACCCTCCACACTGTCCAGCCCCCCGATTCTTACCTCATCGCAGCCGGAGCACCGGGGCCGCAGGCTCTCGCAGTAATGACGGCCACACCAGGGCGCACCGTCCTTCCAGAAGTAGATGAGGTCCACCAGCGGCTCGGAGCACTTGACACACACAAAGCAGGTGGGGTGCCACTGCTTGCTGTAGCCTGCCCTGTCTGAGTAGACCACAGGGCTGTCGGCGGGGGCCACTCCCTTGCAGAACTCACAGACCTAGAAGGGGAGGAGGACACCAGGGATGCAAGGGGGTCAGAGGACACTGTGATATGGGTTTGAGTTTCCACTCAACTTCCTGAGGGAGTTTACTTCACTTCCTGAGGGTCCTCCAGTGAGTTACTGTACCTCTCTGTTCCTCAGTGGTCTCATCTTCAAACTGGGATAATAACAAGGCCTACCCCGTAAGTTACTGTGAGGACTGAGTAACGCTAGTAGTTTAGCTCACTGAATCTCAAACTTTTTATCCTCCAGGACTCTTTAGGTTCTTACAAATTATTGAGAACCCCAAACAGTTTTTGCTCATATAGGTAATAGCTGTTGAGATTTACCATAAGAAAAATTAAAACTGATTATAAGACTAAGTAATTACTTAATAATTCACTTAAAAATCATAAACCAACGTGTTAACATAAATAGTCGCAATTAAAAATAACTTTATTTTCCCAAACAGAAAAATTTAGTGAGGAGAGAGGCACTGCTTTGTATTTTTGCAGATCTCTTTAATGACTAGCTCAATAGAGGACTATGGGATTCTCACAGCTGCTGTAGCTTTGTATCTTTTGCAATATGTTGTTTTCTTTGAAATATATGAAGAAAATCTGACCTCACACTGGTATGAAGTTGGAAAAGGAAGGGAGGAATATTTTAAGAGCCTTTCCATATAACTATGGATATTGTATCAAAACTGGACGAGTGGTAGTTTCCCCAAAGTCAGTGTGGAGTCTCAACCATATCAACCTTCCATCCTAGTTACATTAAAACCCACTGGATCACCTGCACTTTGAATGGATCTTTTATCCACATATAATTATCTTTTAGTGAGCTTTAAGTTTTAGAGGAGTTCTAAACTTACAGAAAAATTGTGAGGATAATACAGAGAGTTCTCATATACCCCACACCTAATTTCCTCTGTTTTGAACGTCTTAAAGTAATATGATATACTTGTCACAATTAATTAAGCAATACTGATGTTAATATTAACTAAAGTCTCAACTTTATTTAGATGTTCTTTAGATTTTACCTAATATCCTTTTTCTACTCCAGGATATATTACATTTAGTCCTCCCATCTCCTTAGGTTCCTCTTGGCTGTGATTTATCAGACCTCCCTTGTTTTTTGTTTTGTTTTGTTTTTGTTTTTGAGGGCGTTAGAGAGAGAGAAGCCTGAGCTCAGGGGTGGGGGCCGAGGGAGTGGGAGAGAAAGAATCCCAAACAGGCTCTACATTCATTGTGGAGCTGGATATGGGGCTTAATCTCATGATCTGAGTCAAAACCAAGAGTCAGACACTCAACCAACTGAGCCACCCAGGTGCCCTAGACTTCCCTTGTTTTTGATGATCTTGACAGTTTGGAGGAGTACTGGTTAGGTGTTTTGTAGAGTGTTCCTCGGCTGGGATCTGATGTCATTGCCATGATTACATCGGGAGGAAAACCACAGAAATTAATTGCCATTCTCTCATGACATACTATCCAGAGTACATATTAAATCTATCAAATCTTTTGAGTCATTTTGGAGTTATTTCCTGCTCCTCAAAATTCTGGTGATGCTGATGCTGATGGTGATGCTATCGTTTCCTTAAGAGAGGTCTGTGTCCAACACTATGCTCAGGATTCCATGCTCCTTACTAATACCCCTTACAGAAACCCTGGAGAGTTATGCCCCCTTCTAATTCAGCTCCCTTTTAAGGAAATCATTATTTCCCTCCAAACATTCCCTCTCAGAGACGTTCAGTGGTTGCTCAGTAATGCACAGCTGGGAGGCAAAGCTAGGATTTGAACATGGGCCAAGCCTGACTCGGAAGCCGAGTTTCTTACTACGACCCTGTGCATAGGCATCAGCAAACTGCAGCCATAGCCAAACCTGGCTGCTGCCTGTTAAGACCCACCAGCTAAGAATGGATTTTACATTTGAACTCCAAGTCAGTGAAATGTTTTCTTCCTAGAAAGAATTCCATTTTTCTCATTAATGAACTTGAATTATGGAGTGAATTGTGCCCCTCTAAATTCCTATGTTCAAGTCCTAACTCCCAATGTGACTGCATTTGGCCATAGGACTTTTAGCAGGTAATTAAGGTTAAATGAGGTCATAAGGGTGGGCCCCTAGTCAGATAGGACTGGTGTCCTTATGAGAGACCAATCACCTGCTCTCCTTCGCTGTGAATGCACAGAGGAAAGGCTGTGTGAAGACACGGAAGGAAGGCACCTATGTACAAGCTAGGAGGAGAGGCTTCATCAGAAACCTACTGTACCGGCACTTTGATCTGGGACTTCTAGACTCCAGAACTATGAGAAAATAAATTTGTTATTAAAGCCACCCAGTCTATGGTATTCTGTTATGACAGCCTGAGCTGACTAATATAACCTGTATTACAGAAATCTAGGCTTAATGATATTATTAGATTCTGAATTTCAGAAATAGAAAACTTGGTGGAAATTTGTTTTCTCTCCTGATACATGAAGTACCTATATGATATCAGTTTTGGCTCTTGGTCTAGAACACCTGAGATATTTACCACCTGGCCCGCCACAGAAAATGTTTGCAGACCCTGGCTTTAGATGAGAAATTGATCTAAGCACCAATTATATATCAGCCCAAACAGAAACATTATTTTGTCGCGCCAAGATGAGGAGGCATATGTTAAGAGCTTAAACACTTGGTATTCTTAAGTTATAGACTTGAATGACACACTTAATATATATTCTTATATACGAAGAGGATGAAATAAGAATTGTGATGATGAAAAGTAGGGAAAGAGAACCAAACGACAAAGAACGCCCATGTACTGACAGGGGTCCCTAAGCATAGTTGTTGTGGAATGAATGGCTAGATAAAACATGTATTTGGATAACTAATCTGGACTGCCTGACAGTGTTCCTTAGAATGTGCTGGCCTTGTTTCAGTTATGCCCCCAAGAATGAATGGTGTGAGTCCTTCACTACAATGAAAACCCTGTTCCCCTGCACATGACCGAGTCCCAGCTCCCATGGAGCTCATCAGAGGGTCTAAACCAAAAACAAGTGATGAATCATCATTGACTTATTTTCACTATCCTTTCAGCACAGCTGGGAAGTGTAAACTCTTTGGCAAGCGCTGTATGAGTACCAAGTGAGTTTTCTGTCTGACTGGCTTTCTAAGTTTCACTGGACGAAATTTCCAGCCCCTTTATTCCCACGCAGATGGGACTTAATGTCAATCCACCACCTAGTTGGGCATCACTGTGATATACCAGCGGGGCTTCCAACTCCAGATTTCCAGATGTTGCTTAATGTGGAAGCAGGGAAAGGGGGTATAAATGCATCTGGATGTGTCTGGGGACCCTTGGAAGGCACCCACAACCCACAAAAGGAAACGGGGACGGAAGGTCAGAGAGGCAGTTTGGGGGACCATGAGCCTGGGTTATGGTTTTGACTTCTGGAGGTAATGGGGAGCCATTACTGGTTCTCGAGGCTGGGAACACCGTGTTTGGTTCTCACTACAGGGAGATAATTCCAGTGACAGCAGCAGCCCAGAGGGGGGAAGGGAAAGAGATCTGTGCCCGCAGAGCTTGGTCCTCACTGCGTCTGAAAGTGCTGTCTCAAGTGACTCCCTCAATGAGGAGCGTCCCTTCCCTCACTGTTCCCCCAGCATCCCTGGCTCATGGTCTCCTTACTACCAGTAGCCAGCCCTTTTAAAAGCAAACAGTGTCACTGCCATTTTATGAAAACAAGATGTCCAAGTAATGAGCCCTGTCAACATGTGTCAGGAACCAATTTTCTCCTCTGGCCTCTGAGTTATTTTCTGTGCTTTCCTTGTCATCTCAAAGGATAGTAGATCTAACAGTGTCCTGGCTTGTCAGCCTAGTGGCTCCTCAGGCCCCAGGGGCAGGCTGGCAACCAAGAGTCAGAATGCCTAGCCTGCTTGGCTCCTAAGATCCTGGGCCTGCCTTTCTCTACACAAACTTATTCTGCTACATCTTTGGTACTGAAGTTAACAATTTCTAAATTGCAGTGGATGATTGAGAGTCGGGCTAGGTGTGTGACCTTAGTCAAGTTACCCAACCTCTCTGTGCCTTAGTTTTTTCACTCATCAAGAGGATACTAATAATATTAATATCATATAGTTGTTGCATAGATTAAATAAGAGTTAATGGACTTTCTTAGGTCTCAATAATAATTACCTAAAATTATCCATACTCAAGTTCTCTTTATAGATGAAAGACCTGTAGCTCAAAGGGTTAAATCACTATCCCAAGATGAGAAAGACATGTTGAGGGCAGGATGTGCTTTTGGTTTCGACTTTGGGGTTTCTTTCCATAACACCACGTTCACATAGATTGACAGGACAGGACATTATTCCTCCCGTCAACGAGCTTTGTTTTTTCCCATCTCCATTTTATCCATCTGTGCATGGCCAGAGGATAGAGTTGTGTGAATTGCACGGTCACTCGCTCCCCCAGGCTGACGGACAGTCAATCCCTTCTCCCAAACCACCCCCTGTAAGACAGTGATTCTCAGACCTGAGTCTGCTGGGCACCCCCAGAGGGCTTGTTAAAACAGATTTGTGCCCCGCACCTGGAGTGTCTGATCCAGATAGGTCTGGGATGAAGTGCAGGAATCTGCAGGCTCCTGGGGATGCTGGTGTGGTCAGGGCACCATTTTGAAAACCATGGTTACAGACTGTTTAAAATGACCTTAAAAATAAACTCAGCAAAAATGACACCACCAATTCAGTTCAGTTACAGCAAAAGCCAATCTGAATTCCTGGGATGCTTTAATTCTAGACGATTCTTAAGAAAGCCCAGTGTGGTCATTCTCAGGCTACTTTCCCTATGAAGGAGATAGTGTGGCCAAGTAAAAGTCCCTTGGGACTATGTTAAGAGGCAGAGAGAATGCTTATCATTAGCCTATTAGTTGGTTCTTATTCATACTCTCAACGGTCTAAATTCGGAGCTTGCTGTTGAGAATCTTCCTACATTTGCCATAGAGCTTAGTTTGCACGCTATTCCCCTCTGTGGGGAG